TGCACTTTTTTTGGGGGGGGGGCGGAGGGGGGGTCCTCTTGTTGTCACTGTGCTCCCCCTCTTCCTTTTCTGCTCCCCCCCCCCCAAGCACTGTGCTGGTTGTTGTGGGGCGCTTTGCCCTGTGCAGCCCATCTGTGTGGGTGCACACGGGTGGCTCTGTGGTTGGAATCCTGGTGACCCCCCCACGAATTGGGGGGGAGTGGGGGTGGGGGAATTCTCCCCCTCCCAGCTTTAAGTGAAGACCCCGATCTGCATGGCCTGATTGGGGGGGGGGGATGGGACTGTGCTGCCCTACATACACTGCGCTGCTCCCTTCGCTGCCCGGATGTCGCTGTGCTGTGCCCACCCCAACCAGGGGGTCTTTGGGGGGGGGGTTGGTGTTTGGGGGCTGGTCTCCATGGGGCAAAGGGTCTCAGGGACCCCCTGGCTGTGTGAACCAATTGCTGCTTGATGCAGGAACGGGGCAGAGGGCCTCAGAGAGGGAATGTGAACACATTGGTTCTCCGTTTCTGGGCTGATACTCTTCTTGTGCCCTCTGGGGGGGAAGGGGGGCAGGATGGCTCTGTACCCCCTCCCACCCCCCCCCCAGCTCATGGCTTTTGTGCCCTGGCAGCCGTGGGCCTCTCCAGAGGGACGCAGGAGGCAGAATGGATGAACAGAAACCGCCCAGCGAGGACAAGGACGCGGACGCGCCAGGTGAGCGCATGGCAGAATGCTGTGGGGCGGGGGGCGGGGGGGGGATCCTGGTGCTCTGCTCCCCCCTCCCCCAAGCCCATGGGGTGGGGATGTCCTTCCCTGCCTGTGCTGATGGCTGCTTTCCCCACAGCCGATGCGGCCGCATCCTCGGAGGAGATGGGGAGCGCTGAGGGGGACCCCCTGAAACCTCCAGAAGGAGCGACTGCGGGGCCGGAGCTGGAGAGCACAGACACCAAGGGACCCGGCGGGGCCAGCAGGTGAGGGTGGGAGGTTTGGAGGGGGGCGATGTGGGGCTGGTAATGGGGTGAGGGGGGGGGTTTCTGTGCGTCCCTTATGCCCTCTGTCCCTCCCAGCACGCCAACCCGCCGCTGCGCCCTCTGCAACTGTGGGGACTGGAGCCTGCACGGGCAGCGGGAGCTGCAGCGCTTCGAGCCGGCGCCCGACTGGCTGGAAGGGCTGAGGGGGCAGCAGCCCCCCGAGGGTCCCGGTGAGGCCCCCCCGGAGCTGGGGCCGGTGGGTGATGAGCTGGCACAGATCGGCTTCTCCGAGCGGGTGGCAGCGGTGCAGCTCTTTGAGCCGACGGGTGAGTGTGATCCTAATGCATCTCAGTGACCCCTTCTTGGGGTCAGCTCCATCCCATGGGCCCCTGGGATACCCCTTGTCCTGCAGTGCCCCCTAGGATCCTCCTCATCCCATGGTCCCCTTGGATATCCCCCCTCATGCTGCAGTACCCATCTGGGGTCCCCCTCATCCCACGGCCCCCTGGGATCCCCTCTTGTCCTGCAGTGCCCCCTGGGGTCCCCCCATCTCGTGGTCCCTGTGGTATGGCAGTCACCCTGGGGTCCCCCATCCTTCGTTCCCCTTGGGGTTCCCATCCTCGATGCCCCTCCCTGCAGGGCACTGCTGGGTTCACCGCTGCTGTGCAGCCTGGTCTGCTGGCGTGGAGCAGGACGCAGCGGGGCTGAGCGGCGTGGGCAGAGCTGTTTTCTCAGGGATCTCACAGGTGAGTGGGTTCTGGGGTGGGGTTGGGGGAAGGTTGGGCAGCAGGAACTCAGCCTGGACCCATCTCCAAGGGTTGGGCAGCATCGCTCAGCCCCAGCTCTGATCCCTGCCTGCTCTGCTTGCAGAAATGTGAACACTGTCAGCGGATGGGGGCCACCATCCCATGCCGGGCGGCCGCCTGCCCCCACTTCTACCACTTCCCCTGTGCTGCTGCCAGTGGCTCCTTCCAGTCTATGAAGACGCTGCGGCTGCTGTGTCCAGAGCACGTGGGAGAGGCGGTGCAGATGGGTGCGTGCTGGGTTCTGCCTCATAAACGAGGGGCTGGGGGGGTCACGGGGGCACAATCCGATGTCAGGCCTGGCTGCTGGCTTGGCGCTGGGTTTGCTGGTGCCCATCACACTCGTTTCTCCTGGTGCAGAGGATGCACGCTGCGTGGTTTGCGACGGGCCGGGCGACCTGCGGGACCTGCTCTTCTGCACCAGCTGTGGGCAGCACTACCATGGCACCTGCCTGGACATCACCCTGACACCCCGCAAACGCTCGGGGTGGCAATGCCCAGAGTGCAAAGTGTGCCAAACCTGCAGGTGAGGATCCCCCACCACGGGGATGGGAGCTGTGTGGGAGGACAGCCCTGATTCCCCGCTGTGCCCCGCAGGCAGCCCGGTGAGGACTCCATGATGCTGGTGTGCGAGGCGTGCGATAAGGGCTACCACACCTTCTGCATGGAGCCGGCCATCGAGGGCGTCCCAGCTGACTCCTGGAAGTGCAAGGTGTGCCCTGCTGCCCTGTCCCTGCTTTTTGGGGGAGCACAGGGTTGCTTGGACCCCCACCTTGACGTGCCCTCTGTCCCTCAGAACTGCCGGGTGTGCTCGGATTGCGGCCGGCGTCCATCGGAGCTCGAGCCGGGCTGCCAGTGGCACCAGAGCTTCTCAGTGTGTGAGGGCTGCCAGCAGCAGCGTGCGGCCAAGGAAGCCAACGGGGCGCAGGAACGAACCCCCCAGCTGGAACCCCCTGCCCAGGCGTGAGTTGGGATGAGAGGATGGTGGGGGTCCTGGGTGTGCCACCCCTTTGTGGGATTCCCACAGCCTTGGAGAATATGGGTGGAGGCTGCAGCCCTGACCCCCTCACTGTGTTCTGTCCCCCTCATCCAGATTGACATCCCCTGAGTGCGGTGAACCAGCTGAGATGCCTGTCCCTGCACTGGAGCCTGAGCCTGAGGGGCACAACGAGGAGCTACAGCATGGGGGGGACCCCAAGGAGACGCCCCCAGGCCATGAGGAATCTCCACCCAGCCAGGCGCCCCCTGAAGAGCCGCCCCTTGAGAAGTTGCTCCCCGATGAGCTGCCTGCCAACACGCAGCCCCCCGATGAGCCACCGCCCCACGTGCTGCACCACAACGAACCCCCTCCTGATGAACTGCTGCCCGAGAGCACTCCCCTGGATGAGCTGCCCTCTAACGAGACGGCCCCCAGCGAGACACCCCCCAGCGAGATGCCCCTTGATGGACCATCTCTGGATGAGCTGCCCCCTGATCAACCTCCCCTCAGCAAATCCCCCCGAAGCGAGGTGCCCCTGGAGAAATTGCCCCCTGATGAGCCACACCTCGACGAGCTGCCCCTCGAGAAGCCTCCCCCCAGCAAGCCCTCTATCAGTGAGCTTTCTCTTGACGAGCTGCCCCTGGATGAGCGGCCCCCTGATGAGCCCCCCGTTGATGAGATGCCCCCTGAAAAACCACCACTGGATGAGCAGCCCCTCGAAGAGCAGCCTCCTGGAAAGCCCCCTCTGGATGAGCAGCCCCCCATTGAGCTGCTGTCTGAAAAGGAATTACTTGATGAGCAGCCCCCCGAGGAGCTGCCCCCCGAAAAGCCACTGCTGGATGAGTTGCCCCTCGCTGAGCAGCCCCCTGATGAGCCACCCCCCAGCGAGCAGCACCTTGATGAACTGCCTGCTAATGAAGCACCCCTTGATGAGCTGCTGGGGACAGAGGAGCCGCCCGTCAGCGAGCTGCCACCCCCTGAGGAGCTGCACCCTGAAGAGCTGCTCCCCTGCAAGCTGCCTGCTGAGGAGGACCTCAAACCGCCAGGTAAGTGGGGACCCCCAGGTCAGTCACTCTTCCCACTCTGTTCCCTGTGGATGAGAGGGTTTCACCCTTGGGATTCTTGGTTCGTTGCTCGTTTTCATGCTTTGATGCTGATGCTATGGCGAACGTGAGGGGCTGGGGGTCAAAACCAAATGCTGAAGGGCCCCCTGTGGCCCCCCTGACCCGTTCCCCATCCTGCAGGTCTCCTCCCTGAGGTGGCTGCGGCAGAGGAAGCCCCTGAGCTGGCCCCAGAGGTGCCCCCTGAAGAGGAGATGGAGCTGGAGCCAGAGCCATTGCTGCCCCCCGAGATGGCACTGCCACCCCCCGCTCCTCCAGGTGGGTCTGGGGGCGCACAGGGGTTGGGAGGGGTTCTCTGCTGGGGGCTACATCTTCACTGTCCTCACCTCCAACCCCCAGATCTCTGCGCCGTCTCACCCGCTCGCCCTCCAGACCCCTTGCCTCACGCCACAGAGGATGATGTGTCTGAGCCCCCCACCCCAGCCCTGCCTGAGCCCCCCAGGAGCCCTGGCACCACCATGGACACGGAGCCTCCTGGCTCCCCGCCGCCCCCTCTGGGCTCCCCTGCCTGCACCCCAGCCCCTGCCGAGCCCCCCGAGGATGAGGAGATGGAGACGGGCGGTGGTGAGGGCGACTCATCGAGAAGCCCCCCTGGAGATGGCCCCCATGCCAGCCCACCCCCAGAGCTGGGGCCCTTCCAGGGCCTGCCCGAGGAAGAAGAGGAGGAGGAAGAAGAAGCACCGAGGCTGGAGCGGGAGGGCACCAGCGGGAGCTCCCCACCGCTGAGTGAGGAGGACGGGCCGGAGGAAGGGCGGGCAGGGGGGAACCCTGAATCCAAGGGATCCCCTCTGCTCCTGGAGCCAGAGGAGCTGGGCCTCGAGACCCCCATGGAAGTGTGCACGGCTGGGGAGAAGCTGCTGGAACGTGGGGACGAGGGGGGCCCCGAGCCCCCTACCCTGCGCCCTCGGCCTGATATCCTCAACGAGATCTCCAACCTGAGCCAGGGGGACACGAGCAGCAGCTTCCCTGGCTCGGAGCCTCTGCTGGGCTCGCCAGACCCCGAAGGTGGGGGCTCACTGTCCCTGGAGCTGGGGCCGGCCTCAGGTGATGCCAGCCTGCAGAAGGAGGACGCCGGGTCGCTGCCGATGGGCGCTGAGACCGACGACTCGCTGCTCTTTGAGCCAGCAGCCAAAGGGGATGCAGACAAGGGCCGGCGGCGCAGCTCCCCGGGGCGCTCCCGTGTCAAGCAGGTACAGAAAAGACCCCGGCCCTCCCAGCATCCCCCCAGGGCAATGGGGTGGGATGGGGGCTGTGCTGAAGCACGCGGTGGGTTCTGTTTGGGTCACCCCCCCCAGCTTGCTATAACCCCCCTCTCCCCTTGGCCCTAGGGTCGCAGCAGCAGCTTCCCTGGGCGGAGACGTCCCCGAGGAGGGTCCCATGGCACCCGGGGCCGGGGCCGTGCGCGCCTGAAGTCGACCACCTCGTCTGTTGACACTTTAGCAGTAAGGCTGGGCTGGGGTAGGGGTGGGGGGTTGGGGTGTCCCTGAGTTGCTATGTAGTGGGGCTGAGAACTGAGCATGTCCCCTCCATCCCCATTCCCTTAGAATGGCTTGGGGAGCCCTCAGGGTGCCGGTGTGGGGTGGGCTGGGGTCCTGGAAGCAATGCTGTAAGGGTGGGGGGCTTCATCCCACTACGGCTGATGCAGAGCTGGCCCCTGGAGAGAGGGCAGCTGCTGGTGTGTGTGTGTGTCTGTCCGTCCTTGCGGACCCTGGGCTGTGGCTGTTGCCCACCAAACTGTGTGGCAAGCAAGCGGGGGTCCCTGTGCTTGAGCCCCCTGCTCTGCCCTCAGCTCGCCGACGTGGAGAGCTCGCCCAGCAAGGAGGAGGATGAAGATGACGACGACACGATGCAGAACACGGTCGTCCTCTTCTCCAACACCGACAAGTTTGTGCTCATGCAGGTGAGCAGAACAGCGCAGGGTGAGCAGATGGGACAGGGCGCAGGGTTGCATCCCCTCTGCTCCCCTCACACCTCCTTCCTGCAGGACATGTGCGTGGTGTGCGGCAGCTTCGGGCGCGGTGCCGAGGGTCACCTCCTGGCGTGTTCGCAGTGCTCCCAGTGCTATCACCCCTACTGTGTCAACAGCAAGGTGAGTAGGGCTGGGATCAGCCTTGGGGCAGCCAGAGGGAGGCTGATGCTGTGCCCAGACTGTCCTCTACGGCTGTGGTGATGGCTGGGGGCACACGGGGGGTGACGCCACGTCCGTGTTGCTGTGCCGTGCTGCTCTGGCTCTGCCCTCTGCTCACCCTGCTGTCCTCAGATCACGAAGGTGATGCTGCTGAAGGGTTGGCGCTGCGTGGAGTGCATTGTCTGCGAGGTGTGTGGCAAAGCCTCTGACCCATCCCGGCTCCTGCTCTGCGACGACTGCGACATCAGCTACCACACCTACTGCCTGGACCCGCCGCTGCAGACTGTGCCCAAAGGCGGATGGAAGTGCAAATGGTGCTCGAGGGGTCCCTGGGGGGGGGAGCACAGGGAGGGCTGTGTGGGGCTGGTGTTGAACCCCCTGCCCTTTCCCCAGGTGTGTGTGCTGCGTGCAGTGCGGGGCAGCTTCCCCTGGCTTCCACTGCGAGTGGCAGAACAACTACACGCACTGCGCGCCCTGCGCCAGCCTCGTCGTCTGCCCCTTCTGCCGTGAGAAGTATGTGGAGGATGACCTGCTCATCCAGTGCCGCCACTGCGATCGGTGAGCCCTGCAGCACGTGGATCTGGGGGAGGTCCGGGGTGGATTTCAGCCCCATTCATCACAGTTGGTGCTTGGGTTCATCGTGTGACTGCTTTGCAGCTGCGCAGGGGTGTCCTGCTGAGTGAGCGTTGCAGGGTCTCATCCCGGAGGTTTTCTGCTCCCTGTTGCTCTTCTGCATAGGGCAGCGTCCCTGTTCCAAAGCATCCCAGCAGGGGTAGCTGCTCCGTGGGTGTCTGTGGGGTGGCTGGGGTGTGTGATTGTTCCCTGCTGCCCGCAGGTGGCTGCATGCGGCGTGCGACAGCCTCTTCACTGAGGAGGAGGTGGAGCAGGCAGCGGATGAAGGCTTTGACTGCAGCGCCTGCCAGCCCTACGTGATCAAACCAGCAGGTGAGCACCTGGGGTGAGGGGAACCTGTGGGGTTGGGGGCCGTGGGGCAGCGAGGACTCACCTTTGTCTGCTTCAACCCCTGCAGCACCTGTGCCCACGCCAGACATGTTGGCCAAGGCCAAGGAGCCAGGTATGTATGGTGCTGCAGTGGGTGCCATCAGCCCTGCGGGGATCTGGCTGTGCACCCAGCTGTCTCTTGTTCCCACCAACACCAGCTTTTGTCCCCACAGAGCCCCAGTATTTCCGTTTTGAGGGCGTCTGGCTGACGGAGACGGGCATGGCGGTGCTGCGCAACCTCACCATGTCCCCCCTGCACAAACGGAGGCAGCGCAAAACCCCTCGTCTGGGTGCCCTGAATGGGGATGGGGGGCTGGACGGGGGAGACCCCCTGGGTCCTGATGAGAAGAAGGATGGCGACCTGGATGCTGATGAGCTGCTCAAGGCTGAAGGTGCGCCTTCCGCAGTGGTAAGTTGAGGGAAGGGGTGGTAGGAGAACCTTGCTGATGTGCTTTCCCCATTTGACAGTGGGTGTGGAGCACATGGAGTGTGAGATCAAGCTGGAGGCTCCAGCCAGCCCCGACCGCGACGTGGGGGCTGATGTGGACTCGGGGAAGGGGCTGGAGGACCCAGATGAGTGCAAGAAGAGGAAGCGCAAACCTTACCGACCTGGTGAGTGCTGCCCATGGCTGCCCACAGCCCCCAAACCTCCCTGGACCCACTGTGACCTCTGCATGCTCCTCTGTCCCCAGGCATCGGTGGCTTCATGGTGCGGCAGCGCAAATCCCACACCCGTCTGAAGAAGGTCCCAGCAGTGCTGGCTGAAGTGGGACGTGAGGGGCTGAGCGCAGAGGGGCACCCAGAGGACGGTAGGGACCTGCAGAACCTGTCCCCCACCCCCTCTGTGGTGCCTCCCCCTTCCCCTGGGGATGGAGAGAGACTGGAGGGTGCATTTTGGAGTGCTGTGATAGTGCCATACCCAAGCTCTTCCTGCAGCACAGGGACAGTCTTGAGAAGAGGTGGTAACAGGGATGGTAATGCTGTTTGTAGGAGCTCCAGGGGATCTCCCTGCAGAGGGTGGCCTGGATCCAGGCTCGGCTGAGGGGGACGAGAAGAAGAAACGCCGTGCACGGAAAAAGAGCAAACTGGAAGACATGTTCCCTCCATACCTGCAGGTGGGATGGGCAGATGGAAATGAGGTTGGATGGGAAAAAATGGGGATAGGAAAGATGGGGGAACTGTTCTGGCCAAGGTGGAGGTGATGGGATGGCACAGGGCTGCGTGGTGGGGGTGCTGTGGGGTGCTGATAGTGGCTTCCACCTTGCAGGAGGCATTTTTTGGGAAGGCACTGATGGACCTGAGCCGGAAGGCGCTGCTGGCAGCGGGCGGTGTTGGGGACGGAGCTGCCCGCCCCTCCCTGGCTCAGGGTGCCCCACGGCACAAAGGGGACCCCAACGTGACGGGGGCTCTGCAGGGGACCCCCCTGGAAAGAAGGGAGACCCCCACTCATCCCCGAGGTGAGTCCAGATTGGGGAATGAGTCCCAGCTCAGAGGGGCTGATGAAGGCATAGGGCTGGCGGGGGGGGGAGGGAATGGATATCCAGTGGTGTTGGGGGGCGTTTGGGAGGAGATGGGGGGGGAGTTGTGGACCCCCAGAGTGGTGCCCAGCCTCACTGAAGCTCTGTGCTTGAAGGAGATGACAGCACAGACGGCAGTGCCACGGCTCTGGACGATGACGGCAAGGATGTCGCGAAGGGCGAGGACCTGGGTGAGCCCTGGGACCCCAGCCCCCCTCCCCACCCCCCCAGATCCCCAAGTTTGCGTGAGTCCAGCTGGAAGCAAACCAGACTCAAGGCCAAGTCCTCCTGCAGTCTTCGGGAGGAGGGCTGGAGCATCTCCCACCATAGAGATGGGGCTGCTCTATGGTACGGAGTACAGTCTAGGCTGGATGGGATTTCCAGGCTGAACTCTATGGTCTCGTGAAGCTCCGGTGATCATAGAGTGTTGTCTAGAGCGCCCCCGGGCGGTGTGGCGCCCTGCCTGCTCTGGGGGTCCGAGAGTTGGTTTTAGGGGCTGCAGGGAGTGGCAGTGGGGCTGAGCCTGGGGGGTCCCAGCATGGGGGTCTGAGGGCATCACTCCAATCCCTCCTTGCAGGGACCGATGACCCCAAGGACTCCCCAAACCGTGGGGACGCTGAGAAGCCGGCCACCCCCGGGGAGGGCGCGCTGAGCTCCGACCTTGACAAGATCCCCACGGAGGGTGAGGGCCCACCACCACCTTCCCCATCCCCACCTCCCCACTAGGCGGGGAGAAGAGGAGCGAGATGCCCCCTAGCACCGTCCCTGTGGCTCCTTTCAGCTCCCTCAGTGCGTGTTTTGGGGCTCATCTCTTTCTTTTCCCCTCACAGAGCTGCCCAAGATGGAGAGCAAAGACGTGCAGCAGCTCTTCAAGGACGTGCTGGGCTCTGCTGAGCGTGGGGAGCAGCCCCTCAACTGCGTGGAGGGCAGCGGTGCAGGGCAGGACCCCGGCCGGGCCCAGCGCCCCTTCCTGCAGGGAGAGCTCCAGCTGCCAGGGCAGGGTGGGTGCACACAGGGTGTGGGAGGGGGGCAGGACTCCCTCCCCCCCAATTTGCACTCGGTGAGCGGATGCTCCGACCCCTGAGATCCTGGGTTTTCCTCGCTCCTTTAGGAACTGAAGTGGAAAGGGTTTGCGAAGGCAGACGGGTGGGATTTTCTGTTGCAGAAGGGATTTTGGGGGTTTGCGGAGGGGACTTGGGATCGTGGAGAGCATTTTTGGCGCACATGGTTGGGATTTTGTGTGGTGTGAAGGGTCCTGGTGTGGGCGCAGCCTCATAAGCGGGTCTAATACTGCCATTCCTTCACTTGCAGGGAGCGTTTCTCTGGGCTCGCTCTCTGGATCTGTCTCCTTGGATTCGTATTCAGGAGTTTGCCAGTCCCCGTTCCTCGATAACCGGTACGTGGTGCCATGGGAGATGGGGCAGCCCCTCACAGTGGGGGTGAACGTTCAGTATTGGGGTTCACCTTCTCCCTGACTCTTTGTTCCCCACGCAGGGAGCGGAGCGGCTTCTTCAGCCCGGACCACTGTGAGCCCGAGAGCCCCTGGGCCAGCAGCTCTGCTGCCACCACCCCCTCGACTCCCACGACCCCCACAACAGAGGGTGAGGGCGATGGGCTGTCGTACAACCAGCGCAGCCTGCAGCGCTGGGAGAAGGACGAGGAGCTGGGTGAGCTCTCCACCATCTCGCCAGTGCTCTACGCCAACATGAACTTCCCCAACCTCAAGCAGGATTATCCAGGTAGGGCTCTGGAGGGGGTACGGGGTGGGATGGATCGTGATGCATTGTGTCACCGTGGGCCCCGTTTGGAGGAGCAAACCCATCTGCTGCAGCGTGGCCCCTGCTTGTAGGAGCAAACCCCTCTGCTGTACAGCTGCAGGGTTGAAGAGCTGCTTGCAGCAGTGCTGGGGAACTTACTGCCAACTCCTTGGTGTTGGTCCACAAGGCGAGGGGGGGTCCTGAGGTGTCCTGGGTGGGGGGGCTCACCAGGCATGGGTTAATGCTGACTTTTTCCTCTTCCTGTGCCCTCTGTTGCTACCGGACTCCCAGACTGGTCGAGCCGCTGCAAGCAGATCATGAAGCTCTGGAGGAAAGTCCCCGCTGCAGACAAAGCTCCCTATTTGGTGAGTGGTCGGGGTGCACGGGGGTGGGGGGCGCAGGGGCTGCCGGGGCTGCGTGTCAGCTGCCTTCGTGTTTTTGTTAGCAAAAGGCCAAAGATAACCGGGCGGCTCATCGCATCAACAAGGTGCAGAAGGTACGTGCTGCGGCCAGAGGTGCCCGGCGGCCCTGTCCCAGCCCTGGGGGACCTGGTGCAGCCCCTCTTACCCCATCAGCCCCTTCCCCAGCCCCACGGGGAGGCTGGGCACACTGCCCTGATGGCCGGGCTCTCTCTGCAGCAGGCCGAGAGCCAGATAAACAAGCAGACCAAAGGGGAGGGACTGCGCAAACCGGAGAGACCCTCGCTGCATCTGCGGATCCCGGTGCCTCCAGGGACGCAGCCCGTCTACATCAGCAGCCCCCCTGCTGCGGGGGAGGGCTTCCTGAAGCCGGGTGCTGGAGGAGGGGGGCCGGAGTCTCCCAGCGAGCTCTTCCTCAAACTCCCACCCCAGTCCCCTGCCCAAGTGCCTTCGCACGACCCCTACGGTGCTGCGCCCGCCTACGCGCTGGAACCCCGCTTTTCCTCCCCCTTGGGACAGAGCCCCACTTCAGGCGCTGCCTTCCAGCCCTTCCCCAGCCAACCCCTGGCCGGTCCCCGCTCCATCCCTGGCTCCCAGTCCTCTGATTTCCACCCCACTCCTCCTGGCACCCCCCGGCACCAACCTGGCACCCCTGACCCCTTCCTGAAGCCCCGGTGCCCCTCTTTGGACAACCTCTCGGTGCCGGGGAGCCCCGGCGCCCGCCCTTCCGAAGCTTTGCTCTCTCCTCTTCCTTTTGGGGAGCAGAAAAAGGGCTTGGAGGTGAAGAAGGAGGAAGGGGGGAGCCTGGGGGTCTGCTCGCCCAGCTATACGCCCACCATGGGCTACGGGGACTCCCCAGGTGGCCCTCATCTCTCCGCTGCGGAGCTGAAGGTCGCCGATGTCTTCAAAGCCCCCATGACCCCTCGGGTCTCTCAGGTAGAGCCTCAGAGCCCAGGGCTGGGGCACCGACCCCCCGACCCCCATCCCTTGGCCCCCTCGCCCCCCGGTCACCCCGATCTCTACCGCCAGTCCCCCTACCCTGACCCCTACGCGCAGCCCCCGCTGACACCCCGGCCGCAGCCCCCTGCTGATGCCTGCTGCTCCCTCCCACCCCGCTCGCTGCCCTCGGAGCCCTTCACCCGTGTCCCCGCCAGCCCCCAGTCCCAATCCAGCTCCCAGTCCCCGCTCACCCCCCGGCCCCTCTCTAATGAAGCTTTCTGCCAGTCTCCCGTCACTCCCCGTTTCCAGTCCCCGGATCCCTATTCCCAGCCGCCCTCCCGGCCTCAGTCCCGGGACCCTTTCACCCCTTTGCACAAACCCCCTCGGCCCCAGATGCCGGAGCCGGGCTTCAAGCCAGGACCGCTGTCCCACAGCCCAGCGGCCACTGGGGGCTTTGGGGGCACCCTGGCAGGTGAGCCCCACGCCAAGGCACCGGGTGGGCAGCAGCCCCCCTTCACCCGCTCCCCCGGTGCCAGCGTCTTCCCAGGCAGCCAGCCCCCCATGCGCTTTACCTTTCCCCCATCCGTCTCCGAGCCTCTCAAGGGCTCCCCGTCCCACCAACCCCATGGGATCAACAGCCATTTTGTCCCCGGTAAACCCCAGAGCTCAGCCTACACCTCGTCCCCTGCCTTCCACCAAGCCAGCAGCCCGCTGGGCACCGGGGCTTCTGACCCCTCTTACAGCCTCTCACCCCTCCGGCCGCCGTCTGTGCTGCCCCAGCAGCCCCCCGCTGCCCCCCAGCAGCCGGATGCCAGCATCGCCTTCCTGCCCCGAACTGCAGTGGGGGCTGATAAAAGAGAGGAGACGGCTGCAGGGCTCTCAGCACCCCCAAACCGTGACCTGGCCGAGCTGCCTGGTGGGCAGGACGGGGCCGTGGGCACCATGAGTCAGTCGGAGCTGGAGAAGCAGAGGCAGGTGAGGGCTCACCGATGGTTGCATTGCATCCTTTTGGGTTTGGGATGAGTTGGGAGAGAACAACGTGGGTCTGTGTAGTCGGTGTTGGTTCCCTGCACAGGGGACGGGGGTGGTGGGGTGGTACAGCTGAGGGTCTGCTCTTGCTTTGTGCATGGTTTGGGATGGATGGATCTCGCTTTGTGCCCGTTCTCACCCCTAATGCTTGCATCTTCCCAGCGCCAGCGGCTTCGCGAGCTGCTCATCCGTCAGCAGATCCAGCGCAACAGCCTGCGGCAGGAGAAGGAGAGCGCAGCAGCAGCAGCAGCCACACCATCCCCATCAGGTTGGGCTCCTGATTCCAGCAGCCAGCCCTATGAGCTGAGCCGCAGCATGACCACCTACCAACCGCCACAGGTAGGATGGAGCGCACGGGGACGTGGCACGGAGGCTGGGGATGGATGTGTGGGGTGATGCCGTGGCCTTCTCTCCTAGGATAAGAGTCTCCTGGGGACGCTGGCCACTGCAGCCAGCAGCGGGAAGCTGCCTGGCTCTGTTATGGTGCAGACAGCCACGTTCGTGCAGGATGAGAGGCTCTCCCGGCCCCCACCAGCTGCCACGCCGGCTGCGATGGACATCAATGGGAGGTGAGAGCTGTGGCTGTGGGCAGGCAGTGGGGCTGGGGGCTCCTCTTGGTGGAGAGAAGGGGGGCAGAGAGGTGCGTGCCAGCGGCGTTTGTAGGATTTGATGTGGGGAGATGGGGTTGTGGTGGCTTTGCGGAGACCTTGAGGGGGTCAGGATGCCACGGGATGTCCCATGAGTGGTGGGTTTGTGGCCATGGCAGTGCCACTGGGGTCAAGACACTATGGGGCATCCTATGCACGGTGGGTTTGGGGCAGTGCTGAAGAGGTCGGCACACTGTGGGATGTGTGTGGTAGGTTTGGGGCCGTGGCAGTGCCAAGGGGGTCATGATATCATGTGACGTCCCATGCGTGGTAGGTTTGGGGCCGTGGCAGCACCCCAACACCGTGCTGTTTTGCAGGGCGGCAGTCGGGCCCCCCCAGGCCTTCTACCCCCGTGGAGTCTTCCCGGCGCTGTCCCCGCAGCAGCACCTCTGGCAGCAGCAGCAGGCAGCCCTGCGTCTTCCCGTCGCCTCCCGCTTCGCTCCCCCGGCCGCCAGCACCCCCGTGGGCAGCCTGGCCCCCCGCCTACCAGCACCCGCCGAGCCGGTGCCCGCCTCCCCTGGCACCCTGGGCGCTCCCTTCATCGAGCTGCGACACAACGTCCAGAAGGGACCCGGTGGGATCGTGGGCTCCCCCTTCACCCCCCAACCCCCTCGGCCTCGTTTTTTCCTGCCCGGTGAGGAGGGCACCCCGCAGCCCCTCTGCGCCCCGGCGGTGCCCATGCAGGCGCTCCCTGCCCCGGCGCTGCAGCCCCAAAAGATGCCGGTGGTTCCGCTGCCACCCGCGTCGCCGCAGGGCACCGAGATGAGCAACAGCCACCACCAGCTGCACGCCAAAGCGGTGCCCCCCGCCCCGCTGCCCGCCCCTGGCCTGGAGCTGCAGCACGTCCCCCCGCGCCCGCTCTCTTCTGGCTCTGCTCTGCGCCCCGATGGCACCAAGGACGGCGCTGCTCCGGCTCCGGCCCCAGGGAAAAGCCACCTGAACCTGGAGGGCGGGCGGCTGCCCTGCGAGGTGCCGGTGGAGCCCGACTTGGATGATGACTTTGGCTCCCACAAGGACTTGGAAGACGACGACGATTTGGCAAACCTGAGCCTGGATCCGGACGTGGCCAAAGGGGACGACGATTTGGGCAACCTGGACAGCCTGGAGACGGCGGATCCCCACCTGGACGACCTGCTGAACGGCGACGAGTTCGACCTGCTGGCTTACACCGACCCCGAGCTGGACACCGGCGACAAGAAGGACATCTTCAACGAGCACCTCCGCCTGGTTGAGTCGGCCAACGAAAAGGCTGAGCGCGAGGCGCAGCTCAAGACGGAACCATCGGGGCCCAGCTTGAAGCTCCCCGACCCCGGGGATGGCAAAGATGCAGCACCGACGGCGGAGGACCGCGATGTGCCCAAAGAGGGGCTGGTGCCCGGCGCCGCGCTGCCCCCAGACCCATCCTTCAAGGCACAAAGTCTGGAGGCGAAGGCGGCCGCGCTGCCCACCGACGTCAAACCCAAACTGGAGGATGGATGTCTGAAGACCTCGCCTTGTCAGTTCACCGCCGGCAGCTCCGAGCGGCTCCCAGTCAAGTCAGAGGCCCTGCAGAGCACAGATAAGATCTCTGCGTCGCTGGGGCTGAGCCTCAAACCCAGCCAGGCCCTTCTGAGCCCCAGTGCTGGCCCTGCTCGCCTCGGCTTGACTCATTTCCCAAACAGCAGCTCCACACTGGAGAAGGACCCATATGTTGGCACCGGGCGTGGGCTAGCCCCTGCCCAGCTGGGCAGCCAGAGCAACCCCTTGTTGGAGAAATTCGAGCTGGACAGCGGGGCTCTGGGGCTGGGCAGCACGCGGCACTCACCTGCCGACGAGCTGGACAAGATGGAGAGTTCCCTGGTGGCCAGCGAGCTGCCGCTGCTCATCGAGGACCTCCTGGAGCACGAGAAGAAGGAGCTGCAGAAGAAGCAGCAGATGTCTGCCCATCTGCCACGGGGCGCCCCGCAGCTCCCCGCCCCGGGGCACCCCATGCTGCACGCGGCCACGCAGCCCCTGGATGCTCAGCCCCCCCGCCTGGGCACCCCGCAGCCCCCCCTGCAGCTGGGGCTGGTGGCCAGACCGCAATTAATGCCACCGCAGCCCCCGCGGCTCGGGAACCCCCAGCAGGGCCCGGCGCTGGGGCCCCACATGGGCATGGCCTCCGGGCAGCCCCACGTCCTGGCTGCCCCCCACGGTGTGCAGGTGGCCCTGGCGCAGCCGCAGCAGAGCCAGCAGCAGGTGCTGGTGCAGAAGCCGATGGCCGGGGTGCAGCCGCCCGCCCTGGGCCTGAAGCCCCCCCAGCTCGTCATGCAGCAGCAGCTGGCCAACAGCTTCTTCCCAGACACAGGTAGGCGTTGCCTTGAGCACTGACTGGTTGGCTTATCTCTCAGAGCCCCTTTTGGGTCAGATACGTAGGGCTGCAGCCTGGCCTGGGGGCTTGCAGCGTCATCCCTGGGTGATTGCAGACAGGGATTCATTCCACCCCATCTCTTCTTGCAGACCTGGACAAGTTTGCTGCTGAGGACATCATGGACCCCATTGCCAAAGCCAAGATGGTGGCACTGAAGGGCATCAAGAAGGTGATGGCGCAGGGCAGCATTGGGGTGGCCCCAGGGATGAACAGGTAAGGGGCACGGCGGGGTGCGGGGCGGGTAGGACCCATTGGCTGCATCTCATCTCCTTGTCTGATCTCTGTGTCTCCTCCTTTCTCTCTGTGTCTCCCCAAAGGCAACAAGTATCCCTGCTGGCCCAGCGGCTCTCGGGAGGCCCGGCTGTGTCAGACATGCAGAACCACATGCTGGCAGGGAGCGGGCAGGTGAGTGGGATGCAGTGCCCTGGCTCAGTGCTGGAGTCCCTGTTGGGTAGGAGCTGTGTAGGCCAGCAGCTTGGCTGGTAACTGGGGGCTGTGGGGAGGAAATAGGGGGCACGGAGGAGGGGCACAGCACTAATGTCCTTCTCTGTTCCAGGAACGGAGCGGCGCTGACCCAGCCCAGGCTCGCCCCAACCCTCCCACCTTTGCTCAAGGTGTCATCAGTGAGTACTGAGGGGGGACGGGGGGTCAGGGCCTCATCCTGCCCCCACGGGCTGAGCTGAGCCGGGGTCCGGAGCTGGGACCCTGCTGAGCTGAGCCCCTCCTGCCCCCCACAGACGAGGCCGACCAGCGGCAGTACGAGGAGTGGCTCTTCCACACCCAGCAGCTCCTGCAGATGCAGCTGAAGGTGCTGGAGGAGCAGATCGGCGCGCACCGCAAGTCTCGCAAAGCGCTCTGCGCCAAGCAGCGCACGGCCAAGAAGGCCGGCCGGGAGTTCCCTGAGGCTGATGCAGAGAAGCTGAAGCTGGTCACGGAGCAGCAGAGCAAGATCCAGAAGCAGCTGGACCAGGTAAGGGGGGCTCTGAGGGTGTGGGCACGTGTCCCGAGCGGGCGATGCCCCCGTGCTCACGCCGCACTGCCTGCCCCCCTGCAGGTGCGGAAGCAGCAGAAGGAGCACACCAACCTGATGGCCGAGTACCGCAACAAGCAGCAGCAGCACCAGCACCAAGCCTCGGCCGTCATGGCCCTCAGCCCCTCGCAGAGCCCCCGCCTCATGTCCAAGCTCCCCGGGCAGCTCCTCTCGGCGCACGGCATCCAGCAGCCTGCAGGGACTGTGGTGGGGGCCCAAGGGCTCGGCCAGCAGCCGGGGCAGCCCGGGGGGCTGCGGCTGCCCCAGGGCGGTGTGTCCATGGCCGTGCAGCAGGGGCTGTCCTTCATGGGCCAGCAGGCAGTGGGGAACGCTCCGGTGCCTGGCACCTCCAACGCTTTCTTCTCTGGGAACCCCGCGCTCCGTGGGCTGACGGCAGACAGCCGCCTGATGCAGGAGAGGCAGCTGCAGAGGATGCAGCTGGCCCAGAAACTGCAGCAGCAGCAGCAGCAGAGCATGCTGGGGCAGGTGTCGCTGCAGCAGCAGCAGCAAGGTGTCATGGGCCAGGCGTCGATGCAGCAGCAAGGTGTCATGGGGCAGGTGTCGATGCAGCAGCAGGGCGTTCTGGGCCAGGCACCGATGCAGCAAGCAGGGGTGATGGGCCAGGCTTCAATGCAGCAGCAGGGCGTCATGGCACAGGCGTCGATGCAGCAGCAGGGCATGATGGGACAAGCGTCCATGCAGCAGCAGCAGCAAGGCATCATGGCACAGACGATGCAGCAGCCTGGTGTCATGGGACAAGCATCCATGCAGCAGCAAGGTGTCATGGGACAAGCAGCAATGCAGCAGCCAGGCGTTTTGGCGCAGAGCTCGATGCAGCAACAGGGTGTGATGGCACAGACCTCCATGCAGCAGCCCGGCATGATGGCACAGACACCGATGCAGCAGCCGGGCGTTATGGGACAAGCATCCATGCAGCAGCAAGGGCTCATGGCGCAGACGTCGATGCAGCAGCCCGGCGTTATGGCGCAGGCCTCGATGCAGCAAGCAGGGGTCATGGGACAAGGCTCCATGCAGCAGCAGCAGGGTGTCATGGCACAGACCTCAATGCAGCAGCCGGGCGTCATGGGACAAGGCTCCATGCAACCAGCAGCCATGGTAGGGCAGCCCAGCTTGCTGGGGCAGCAGCAGCAACCAGCAGCCACCCCCCAACCAGGGGCCGTGGGGCAGCCCATGGTGCCCAAGCAGCCGGGGCTGATGGGCAGCCAGCAGAGCCTGCTGGTGCAGCAGCTTTCCCCGCAGCAGCAGCAACAGCAGCAGCAGCAGCAGCCGGGCTTGCTGGGCCATGGGCCGGGGCTGCAGCACCAGGCAGTGCTGGGTCACCCCGCACCCCAGCGGCAGGTCCTGCTGGCCCCCCACCAGCAGCGGGTGCTGGGCTCGCCGCAGACTCCGGGGATGCTGGGCCACCGGCTGGTGCTGTCCCAGCAGCTGGGGCAGGCACGGGCACTGCTGGCCCCACAGCAGCAGAACTCGGGGGCGGCAGCCCAGCAGGGCCTCCTGGGGATGGGCCAGGGGCAGCCCCCGATCCAGCACTTTCCGCAGCACGGGGCGATGGGCCAGGCCCCCCCTGTGCTGCACCTGAGTCAGGGAATGCAGTCGGCCCCGGCGGTCCTGGCTGCCAAGGAGCAGCCCGGGGGGGCGGAGGGCGGCACTGTGCCCGCTGAGGGCAGCGAGGGCGGGGGGCAGCTGCACGGAGGGGAGCAGCAGGGACCCCCCAGCGCCACGGGGCTGGGTGAGCCCCCGGCTCCCAAACACCAGGCCGAGCTGGGGCAAGGGCAGCAGCTCCTCTTGGGCTCCCCTCAGCCAGGGGTCCTGGGCTCCGTGCCCACCCAGCCGGGGCTGCGGGCAGCTGCCGCACCGGGCGCCCTGCTTGTCCCACCGCAGAGCCCCGGGGCCGCTCGTCCTGAGCCACACGGGGGGGACGCCACGGGGGCTGCGGAGCCGGGTAAGGGGCCGGTGGGCACCCAGCAGGGCCAGCCGCAGCCCCCGCGGCTCCAGAGCCCCAAAGCAGGGCCGGGGGCGCAGCCGAGCGGTGCCACCACGCTGTCCCCAGGTGTGCTGGGTCAGGTCCCGGGGCCGCTGATGGGTCAGATCCGGGCGCAGCTGCAGGGGGTCCTGGCCAAGAACCCCCAGCTGCGGCACCTGACGCCGCAACAGCAGCAGCAGCTCCAGGCCCTCTTGGTGCAGCGGCACCAGCAGAGCCTCCTGCAGCAGAGCCAGGCGCTCCGTCAGCCCGGCCCCTTCCCCGGGCAGCCCCCAGAGCACGGCCCCCAGGCGCGTCAGCCCCCCCGCCCGCTGGGACCCCTCTTCCAGGCCCGGGCGGGGGTCCCGGCAGAGGAGCAGGGGGCACGAGGGCAGCCCCCCGCACCGCAGCAGCCCCTGGCTGAGCTGGTGCAAGCAGCCCTGGCTGCCCGTGGTCCCCAGCCCGGCCTCGTCCAGCTCCCCACGCCTCCGGCCCCCTCATCCCTGGGTGTGGGCTGTGCCCCCCAGCAGCTGGCCAGCCCCGAGCAGAGTCCCCAAGAGCCAAAGAAGATGTCACCGGGGGTCCCGGCCTCAGCCCCCAGCCCAGCAGAGCAGGGGCTGGCACCCGATGCGGCACGCTGGGACCCCGAGGTGCCCGGTGCGGAGCCAGCTGACCCTGGTGAGACCCACATCAATGGGGCTGAGCCCCCCCAGGTGCTGGTGAAGCAGGAGCCGAAGGAGGAGGCAGCAGCAGTGGTGCAATGTGAGACGGATGGGGATGAAGCGGCCAAACCAGAGGCCAACGGGGAGCCTGGGGCTGCCCAAGCCAGCAGCCCACTGGTGCCGGGTGGCCGCTCCGAGGCCGGGCACCTCCTGCTGCAGAAGCTGCTGCGGGCCAAGAACGTGCAGCTGTCAGCACAGTGCCCAGGAGAGCTGAACGGGCACGCAGAGAACCGGGGCACCGGGATGGAGCCACGGCCACAACCGGTGCTGCTGGGCCGGGAGGTGAGCGGGGTGCTGTGGGATGGGGGCTGGGGTGATCCTGGGGACGTGCTCTGCATGGCTTTTCTTCTCTTGTTCTCCAGGACCCTTCCATTGCTCGCAAGCCGGTGGCTGCCAAGCCCAAGCGGGTGCAGAAGGGCAACGAGAGAGTCCCAGCTTCCCGCAAGAAGCTGCGCAAGGACGAGGGGCTGCGGCCTGGGGAGGCTCTCATGAAGCTGAAACAGGTACGGGGCAGTGGGCCGTGGCGTGGGACCGTCCCTGTCCCTGGCACAGGGCCGTTCCTGACCCCGCGGCTCCTCTCTGCCCACAGGAGCTCTCTCTGCTGCCTCTGACTGAGCCAACCATCACAGCCAACTTCAGCCTCTTCGCACCCTTTGGCAGCAGCCCCATCAATGGGAAGAGCCAACTGCGCGGCGCCTTCGGCAGCGCCGTGCTGGACAGCGTGCCCGATTACTACTCCCAGCTGCTCACCAAGGTGAGGGGGGCTATTCCTGCGTCTCCTGCTTCGATCTGGGCGAGTCCTGGGTCACAACAACCCTCTCACGCCCCCCCCGTCCTCCCCCCAGAACAACCTCAGCAACCCACCCACGCCGCCCTCCTCGCTGCCCCCCACGCCACCCCCCTCCGTGCAGCAGAAGATGGTGAATGGTGTCACGGCTGCTGAGGAGATGGGTGAGCAGCCCAAGGACGCCGACTCGGCCCGTGAGCCCCAGAAAGGTGAGCGTGGTCGGTGCAGGGTGGCACAGCCCCATAACACCGCCTGCCCCCCATCCCACGACACCCATCCCGTCCCCTTTATCCCACCCCCTTCATCCCGTCCCTACGCAGACGCACCGGCTGTGGAGGTGAAGAGCCTGGACCTTCTGGCAGCCCTGCCCACCCCTCCGCACAACCAGACTGAGGATGTCAGGTGAGCCATCCCCGTGGCTGCCATCAGGCCCTACTACGGGTGGCGTTGGCGTGGCTGTGACATCTTTGTCCCCGTAGGATGGAGAGCGACGACGACAGCGATTCCCCCGACAGCATCGTTCCTGCCTCGTCCCCTGAGAGCGTGCTGGGCGAGGAGCTGCTGCGCTTCCCGCTGCTCAGCGAGGCCAAACCGGAGCTGGAGGAGCGTGTGCTGTCCCCCATCATCCCCATCATCCCCCGGGCCAGCATCCCAGGTGGGCATGGACCGGGCAGAAGGGGGCATTGGAGCACCTAGAAGGGATTTATGGGGTTTAGGGAGATCCCCTAGGATCCGCTCCTGGCAGTGTTTCTCAGGGATTGGGGTATGTGGAAGGGATCTGTGGTGTGTGTGGACCAGTGGGGCAGAGCAGTCCCATAGGACTCAGTCCCAGTAGTCTTTCTGGGGAACTGAGGCACTATGAAGTGGACCTGTGGGCTCTATGGACCAGGAGGAGCAAAGTGAGGCAGAAGGGTCCCCTAGGACCCGCTCCAGCAGTGTTCCAAGGGCAGCCCAGGGCATCTAGGTGGGCCTGTGGGTAGCGAGGGTCTGGGTGACTCTGACCCCTTCTCCCCACCCTAGTGTTCCCCGACACGAAGCCCTTTGAAGCCACGGAGCCCTTTGGGGCTGCACCCCCAGGGAAGGTGGGGATGGCCGGCCCAGGTGCCCCGTGGGAGAAGGGCAAGAGCAGCGAGGTGTCCGTCATGCTGACGGTGTCTGCAGCAGCTGCCAAGGTGAGCAGAGGGGCAGGACGGGGGGTCCCTATGCTGTGACACCCGGACCCACTGCATCCTTTCTTCCCCCAGAACCTCAATGGGGTGATGGTGGCCATGGCTGAGCTGCTGAGCGTGAAGATCCCCAGCTCCTATGAGGTGCTGTTCCCTGATGGCCCCATGCGAGCGGCGGTGGTCGAGGCTAAGAAGGCGGAGACGGACATGGCTGGTGAGCATCTGCCTTATCCCTGCGTCCCCCGTCCCTGTGCTGGGCTCTCTGTGACCATCTCTCTCTTTGCAGGGATGCTGGGTGGCAAGGAGAAAGTGGTGCTGGCCGGGAAGGTGCCGGAGAGCAGCTCTGAGTGGCTGAAGCAGTTTGATGCAGTGCTGCCAGGGTACAGCCTGAAGGGCGAGCTGGACCTCCTGACGCTGCTCCGACAGGTCAGCGGGGTCCCCAGGATGGGGGGAGGGACACAGGGGTCTCTGTGACTGCAGCGGAGGGGCGGATGGTCAACGTGGGGCTGCGGTCGTGCTGTGAAAATGGTAGAGGGCTTTGTGTGTGTCTGTGTAAGCGTGTGGCTGTAGGGGGCACGGGAAGGGGACTGAGGTGTGCGGGGGTCTCTGCAGGTCTGAGGTTTCCGTGGGGAGAGGTGCTGAGGTCCTGGTGGTCCCGTGTCACTGCATGCAAGGGGGTGGGAATCTCCTTGCAGGGTTGGGAATGCTGCATGGTTTCTGAGGTCCTTGCAGGGTGTCGTATGGGGAGGTTAAGAGTGGGAGTCCTTGGGGGTGCTCTGACCCACGGCCCCGCACTGCAGGAGAGCCCCGTGCCCGAGAAGACCCTGCACCACGGCTACGTCAACAACGTCTCCAACCTGGACGTGCGGCAGCTCTCCGTTATGCCCCAGGAGCCCTCGCCCCCCCTGTCCCCCTCCGTCCCCTCCCCGTCCAGCCCCACTGAGGCCGCCAGGGTCCCTGACCCCGAGGCCGCCCACGAAGCCCCCCCAGCCCCCTCCTCGCCGCTGCCCCCCGCCCCTTCCCCAGCTCCCAGGGAAGAGGGCCCCGCAGCCCCCCACTCCCCGCCCCGCTTTAAGCCCCGCTCGCGGCCGCCGGAGGACGGAGACGAAGCGCGGCCCCGGCTCAAGAAATGGAAGGGGGTGAGGTGGAAACGGCTGCGGTTCCTGGTGACCATCCAGAAGGGGGGGGCCAAGCGGGACGGCGACAAAGAGATCGCCGAGTTCATCGACAAGCTGGGCACCACGCTGCGCCCCGAGAAGGTGCCGCGGGACCTGCGCAAGTGCTGCTTCTGCCACGAGGAGGGCGACGGCGCCACCGACGGCCCGGCCCGCCTGCTCAACCTCGACCTGGACCTCTGGGTCCACCTGAACTGCGCTCTGTGGTCCACCGAGGTGTACGAGACGCAGGGAGGGGCTCTGATCAACGTGGAGGTGGCCCTGCACCGCGGGCTGCTCACCAAGTGCTCCCTGTGCCAGAAAACTGGAGCCACCAACAGCTGCAACCGCATCCGCTGCCCCAGCGTCTACCACTTCGCCTGCGCCATCCGCGCCAAGTGCATGTTCTTCAAGGACAAGACCATGCTGTGCCCCCTGCACAAGCTGAAGGGGCCCTGCGAGCAGGAGCTCAGCACCTTCACCGTCTTCCGGCGCGTCTACATCGAGCGGGACGAGGTGAAGCAGATCGCCAGCATCATCCAGCGCGGCGAGCGGCTGCACATGTTCCGAGTGGGCGGCCTGGTCTTCCACGCCATCGGGCAGCTCCTGCCCCATCAGATGGCCGATTTTCACAGCGTCACAGCCCTCTACCCCGTGGGCTACGAGGCCACGCGCATCTACTGGAGCCTGCGCACCAACAACCGCCGCTGCTGCTACCGCTGCACCATCTGCGAGAACAACGGGCGGCCCGAGTTTGTCGTGCAGGTCATCGAGCAGGGCCTGGAGGATTTGGTCTTCTCCGACTCCTCGCCGCAGGGTGAGAGCGATGGGGAGCTGCTGCTGTTCTCCGTGGCGTTGCTGTTGGGCTTGGCGTCGCCTGGGGAAGGGGAGGATGTGGTGACGTGGTGACGCTGTCGGTCTGTGCCACGTGTGGCTCAATGCCTTTTGCTCTTGGCAGCTGTCTGGAATCGGATCATCGAGCCGGTGGCGATGATGAGGAAGGAGGCCGACATGCTGCGGCTCTTCCCTGAGTATCTGAAGGGCGAGGAGCTCTTCGGCCTCACGGTGCACGCGGTGCTGCGCATCGCCGAGTCGGTGGGTGCCAGGGCTGGCTGGGCTGGGGCGGGGGGGGAGGCTCCCATTGGGAGGGGAAGGGCTGCTGGGGGTGCTGCAGTGCTGCTGTTTGACCCCCAGCCCCTCTGCCCCCTCCCCTGCAGCTGCCCGGTGTGGAGAGCTGCCAGAACTACCTGTTCCGTTACGGTCGCCATCCGCTCATGGAGCTGCCGCTGATGATCAACCCCACCGGCTGCGCCCGCGCCGAGCCCAAAATCCTCACCCACTACAAACGGTGAGCTTTGGGGGGGCTGCACTGCTGCCATCCCGTGGATCCTGAGGAGGGGAGTCCCTCATTTCTGACCCAACCCCCCTTTGGTTCTTCCCAAGGCCGCACACCCTGAACAGCACAAGCATGTCCAAGGCTTACCAGAGCACGTTCACGGGCGAAACCAACACGCCGTACAGCAAACAGTTTGTGCACTCCAAGTCCTCCCAGTACCGCCGCCTGAAGACAGAATGGAAGAACAACGTGTACCTGGCACGGTCCCGCATCCAAGGCCTGGGGCTCTACGCTGCCAAGGACATTGAGAAGCACACCATGGTCATCGAGTACATCGGCACCATCATCCGCAACGAGGTGGCCAACCGGCGGGAGAAGATCTACGAGGAGCAGGTGGGGGTCTGGTGGGGCACGGGGGGGTGCTGGTCGGGATGGGTGGGTCTCTGCTTGGGGCAGGGGGGGCACAGGGGTCTCTGCTTGGGGCAGGTGGGGGTCTGGTGGGGAGGTGGGGGTCTGTCTGGTGGCGCACAGGGGGGTTCTGGTGCGGACTGATGGGTCTAAGATCAGGGTGTGAGAGTCTCCAGTCTGGGATACGGGGCTCTGATTGGGGCATGGGGTCTGTGGTGGGGTATGGAAAGGTTCTATGAGGATGTGGGGGCCTCAGGGCAGCTGTGACCCCCTTTTTCCCCCCCACTTTTTCCCTCCCTATCAGAACCGTGGCATCTACATGTTCCGTATCAACAACGAGCACGTCATTGACGCCACGCTGACAGGGGGCCCGGCCAGGTGAGCACAGAACAACGCATCCCCCCCCTATAGAGGGACCCCCGGTGCCTCCCCCCACCCGGTGCTGATACCTCTGTACCCCCCCCCCCAGGTACATCAACCACTCGTGTGCCCCAAACTGCGTGGCCGAAGTCGTGACCTTCGACAAGGAGGACAAAATCATCATCATCTCCAGCCGGCGCATCCCCAAAGGGGAGGAGGTCAGGAGGAGGGGGTGGGAGGGGGCTGGGGGGCTCGGGGGGGGGAACATAGGGCTGAGATGGGGGAGGGATGGGGTACAGCAGTGTGTGACTCCCTGTTTTTCCCCCCCCCAGCTCACCTATGACTACCAGTTTGACTTTGAGGACGATCAGCACAAGATCCCCTGCCACTGCGGAGCGTGGAACTGCAGGAAGTGGATGAATTAAGCAGGGAGGAGGAGGAAACAAAAAGAAACGAGACACAGGAAAAATAACAACAGAATAACATCATCCGTGACAGCGATACGGAGCTGGGGGCTCAGAGCTCTTCCCATCCCGGGGCTGCGGAGATGCCAGGAAGGCTGGGAGCACGGAGGGCCGAGCGGGACGGACGGACGGACGGACAACTCAGGGTTTTCTTTGCTTCGTCCTGCAAGGAACACAAAGGGGGGG